GAGAAAATCATAGAAGCAAAACATTAAAATAGAGAAAATCATAGAAGTAAAACATTAAAATACAGAAAATCATAGAAGTAAAACATTAAAATACAGAAAATCATAGAAGTAAAACATTCAAATAGAGAAAATCATAGAAGTAAAACATTAAAATAGAGAAAATCATAGAAGTAAAACATTAAAATAGAGAGAATCATAGAAGTAAAACATTAAAATAGAGAGAATCATAGAAGTAAAACATTCAAATAGAGAGAATCATAGAAGTAAAACATTAAAATAGAGAAAATCATAGAAGTAAAACATTTATTTGAATGTTTTACTTCTATGATTTTCTCTATTTGCAGAAAATCATTAGAATTAAAATAATATACACTGATGAGTTTGCTTATAAACAAGTGTGGCATACTTCACTCTTACCATAGACATGAGTGATTTCAAATTGTAATATTACGTGTTTGTAATTTATTAGAAATTTCTCTTTTTTTTTAATGACAATTTAAAGTCGACTTAGTATCGTCTGTTCATATGCACACTTACATTATTTTAGATGATGGTGAATGTAGAGAACTCGAAGTTTTACTTCCTAGGATTAGTATGTTGTAATCAGTATCCAAAATAAACTTGGTTATTAGTATGTTGATTACTGAAAAAAAAACACCACATAATTTGATATCTATATAAAACTGATAGTAATGTCTGTTGTCTGTCCATGTAACTACTAAGCAGGGTGTGGATGGATCTTCACTAAAATTTGTGTAGAGGTTCATTAGGCCCTTGCGGGGATACATACAAATTTTCAGTTTTGCATTTTGAGGTTTTTATGAGCGTTTTTTTACCATTACTTCGTCCCCTGTTGATAAACTTTCTCGTTAATTTTGGTGAAGATCCATCAACAGGGGACGAAGTAATGGTAAAAAACGCCCATAAAAACTGCAAAACATAAAATGTGTAGCCGCAAATTTTCATGTATCTCCTAATGGACCCAACAAACCTTCTCGTCAAATTTGGTGAAGATACGTTGGGTCCATTCGGAGATATATGCAAATTTGCGGCTACAAATTTTGTGTTTTGCAGTTTTTATGGGCGTTTTGCGTTTTTACAATTATATATAAGGGAAGCAACTTTTCATGTCCTAAGTTAACCTTTCATTAATCATGAACTTACATAACTCCAGCTAGTTATTAATAATTTGGAATTACTAGAGCAAAGATATAGAAGGAAACAGAAACATAATTTCAACTTTAATAATAAAAAAAGGATAATCTGGTTCGAGTCGTGGTGCTACCAAACACGCTTCGTAGTTTCAGCTGTGGGTGCGTTATAAGAGAAACAGTCAATCCCGCTGTTCGACTATTTGGGTGCTGCTAAATGATATGTCTTCTCTTTGGTCTGCAGTTTGAAACTGTTTCAGAATCAAAGTGGTCTCTGGCCTGATCACTTAACTCCTTCTGAGCATAAGGTGTCGTTAAGTTAAACAAATAAACTTAAAGTATAAACTGAATAAGAAATGCAAAGAATGCGTTCGTTCTATATTGTTTTACTGATCATTACTAAGAATTGGATTAGCGGGACATAAACCTGGCGCCAAACATGTTCTTCCTTTCAGTCGTGGGGACATTACAATATGACAGGCAATCCCATTATTTATTGATAAGGAGTATCCCAAGAGTTGGCGGTGGGTACTGGCGGTTGGTTGACTTCCTTCTGATCGACAGTTGAAAATTAGGGACGACGGTGGTAGATAGCCGTAGTAGCTTTGCCATAAACAAATAAACTATACTTTGATCTTCTGATCTAAAATAAACTGATCGTATAGTCAGAATTTGAGAAAGAAAATAAAATAATTAACTTTTTAGTTAATGAATGCAATCCGGTATAAAAAAATGGACTGGAAATACTTAATATCACAAATTGAGAAAACAGAAAACAAACCTTAAAACAATTCGAATGAGCTGAATCATCAGTTGGAGACTTTCGCTGCTAACGACATTTTCGGCCGTAATCCTAATAATATTTCACGAGGTTCAAGCGTGGTTAGATGAATTATATTAGGCTTAAATCCTTATGTTTAACTAAGGATGAAAGAAAGCGTTTAGGCAACTCACCGGATATTCCTTCAAGGCTGATGTTTAGAAACTCATTGGAATATTTGTCTAAGATGGTCTCAGCGTTAAAGTCGTGGAGAACTGACGGCTGATAATGAAAGATTATGTCAGCTACCTCACGAAGATAAAAATTGAAGTTAATACGATGTACGCTAGAAAGAAGCTCCTCCACGCGTTGCTCGTCTCTGTTGTACGTCACCTTCTTCACACTGTGTTTGTACAAATCCCTCACTGGAGCTGACACACTCTCCGGCTCGTCCGTGACAATCGAATGTTGAAAGAAAAACTTGTTTGTTCTACAATGATGGACTTTGACAGTAGTTTTGGACAGCACCGTACTTCGTGCTGGAGGGTAAAATTTATCCGTATGTTTAAGCCATCCTAATTTTGTTAAGTCATACGCTCCTGGTTCATTCAAACGTACATGCTTGGTTTGATAAACGTCTCCCACCGAATTGACGAAGTACATGCCCTGTTGGAAATAATTTTCTTGCTTTGCGCTTGTTAGTTCTATTTCAAAGGTTTCTGAGGAAAATCGTCCTTCAGTACTGTAAGTTTCAAGGTAATCAGGCTGTCCCACGGTTTCTCCGTTTCCATCCAAGGCTTCTTTTATTATACGTATCTTAGTTCTTGGTGCGCCAAGCTGCAAAGCTGTATAGTTTCCCTTTTCCAAGTGTGGCATTATCCATACCTTGCAACAAACATCTGCTTCTGATTTAAAAAGTTGGAGTAAACACCCGTTCGCAGCAGACACAGTGTAAAACTGGTAACAAACAGCTGACGAATCTGAGTTAGGACACATGTTATTACCGTATTCTGGAGCACATTTATCCGCTCCTCCAGGACAGTCACAGTAACACGAAAGTTTCACATTTGCTTGACTGAAATAATACAGATTTTGTACGGGGTATTCATTCCACACTGCTTCTAAGCGAACAGCATAAATGATCCTTTTTCTATGTCCTCCAGCAAACAGACGTTCTTGTTCTTCCGAATCTCCTCTGACGGTCATGCTGATACACAGCGTTTGTCCTAGGGTTAATGGTATCCTAGCAACAGTACCTTCTAATGTCAATCCTTTTTGGTTCTTTGATTCGAAGGTTACACGAGTCACAAGCGGAAATATTTCGTCACAACGAAATTCTGCCACGTAACACTGAACAAAAATGAGCAAAATTGTATAAAACACCAGATGTAAGTCTTTCAGCACCATTTTATTTGATAAGAGGTGAAAGATTCAGATGCGACTAATTTTTGTTTTCTTTTACATAAAGATAAGAGACAGAAGATAGTTGTTATGTGGTTTGTGAGTGCTGTGGAAAAATGAAAAGAAACTTAGATTCAATTATTTACACATTCAGAGTAATTTATAAATATAGATATAAATAAAATTAAAGCACATTTGAAAGTTTGATATAAGTTTTTTAAGTTTATCTATTTGGGTTCTCTGAATGGGCTGAAGAATAAACGTAAGAAATATATCTTTTCTATAAAACCTTGTTGAAACTCTTGAGATGTCTGAAAAGCTGAAAATAAACATAATAAATATATCTTCATGATAAAAAACTTACTGGTGACTCTTGATATTTACGAAAAGTTGAAAATAGACAATAAATATATCTTCATGATAAAAACGTACTGATGACTCTTGAGTTTTTGAAAAGCTGAAAATAGACAATAAATATATTTTCATTATAAAACCTTGTTGAAACTCTTGAGATGTCTGAAAAGCTGAAAATAAACATAATAAATATATCTTCATGATAAAAAACTTACTGGTGACTCTTGATATTAACGAAAAGTTGAAAATAGACAATAAATATATCTTCATGATAAAAAAACTTACTGGTGACTCTTGATATTTACGAAAAGCTGAAAATAAACACAATAAATATATTTTCATGATAAAAACGTACTGATGACTCTTGAGTTTTTGAAAAGCTGAAAATAGACAATAAATATATCTTCATTATAAAAACTCACTGATGATTCTTGAGTTTATTGAAAAATTGAAAATAGACAGTAAATATATCTTCATGATAAAAAAACTTACTGGTGACTCTTGAGTTTTGGAAAAGTTGAAAATAGACAATAAATATATCTTCATGATATAAAAATTACAGATAACTTATGAGTTTTTTGGAAAGCTGCAAATAAATATGTTTATGATACGAGAACTTGTTAGCAACTCCAGCGAATGTAATGTTTGCAGGACCTCTCGATATAAAAATACTTTATGTAGGGAAAAACAACAACTCGGAGTAGAAGTCACGATATTAAAAAGCTATGATACAGTGGTTTATATCACTTAAAGTGGATATCCTCTCCATCCCAACTTCCATCCTAGTAACAAAATATCTGGAAGATAGAGTACCATTTAAATACATAAATATAAGTTATATATATATATAAACAAGTAAATGAATGTTAGTATATACATACATATACATATATATAAACAAGTAAATGAATGTTAGTATATACATACATATACATATATATATATAAACAAGTACATAAATGTTGATATATACATACACATATATATATATATATATAAACAAGTAAATGAATGTTGATATATACATACACATATATATATATATATATA